AATTTTTTTCGTTAGCAAAGGTTTAAAAGTCAGCCTCTATCCTCTTCTGCTCTACAGTGAGAGGTTTGACTGACAGACCGGCCCACTAGGGCAGGTCTGCATGTTTGCATGTAACAATATTCACCCCTCTGTTGCCAACTCAGTGACTTTCTTACTACCTTTAGCGACATTTCAGACAAAAAAAATTGGTATTGGCCAAAATCAAAATCGGCAGGTCAGGCTTTTTAAAGATTGGTAATTGGCCAGAGAACTGCAATCAGTCCAGCCCAACTTAAGATGGAATACACACACATATATTCATAACATTCTATGATTAAATAAATTTCTCTTAAGAGTAACTCCAATAGTTAAAAAAATAAATTTACACCGGGGGAGTTTTTCTCCCCTGAGGATGTGGACTGGTACTGGGTTGATTCTGAGTCTTGAAAATATTTTAACAGAACTTTCACATAACTTAGAAGTTAATGTGAAAATATTGTTTGTTTTAGCCACAAAATTATCAGTAGCAAACAACCTATCTCCAACTACAGCATAGAATAGCTGATTCATATATTAATGCAGCAATCATGTAGCCTGATGGAAAACATTTTGCTAGACAAAGTCAAACATTGAGAAGTTTTAATTGTTCTTATCAAACGTTATCTTTTGAAGCAAAAGAAAAAAAGAAAAAAAAAAGCTGAACCAACCATGAGAATCAACTCATTTCAAGTTAAAACTCAGCTTCACACAAAGACGCTGACTTAAATGTTTGGCTGTTGAATTGAACCGTTCAAGGTAGTTATAAAGCTAATTTTCTATTAGCAGCTACACAAATTTCTTTATAAACATTACGAAGACATATTAAAACAAACCTTTATCTTGGCTTTTTTCTATTCTTCCTCTTTTCTCCCTCCCTGAAGGATAAATCCTTTTTTGAAGCACTGTTTTGCTAACTGAACTTCTGACCGGAGCTTTGGACGTTTGGATGCTCTGCACATAGCACGAAAGCTCATGTTACAGGCGAAGCGTGCGGTACCTACCGCGGCCACCAGATGGCCCCCAAGAGCAATTTATTTGTTTTCCATTTGTCCATAAAATAAGGATTACTGCATACATTATCAAACATATGTTATTGTAAAACAAATCACTTCATGGTGAAATTGTGTGTTTTTGTTATTATAATGACAGAAATCGTTACTAAATAAAAAATCAGCTCCACTGAGGGGGCCCCTTGGTGGTTAGTTTGCCGAGTTCTGGATTAGCATGTGTGCTAACGGCTTGCGGAGACTGGGTGAAACAGAGTAGATGCGAGAGAGTGAAGCCTTTAAGCGATACAAATTATCGGCTGAGGTGAGCAGTCCGGCGACAAAAACTACAAACCTGCGAATAAACAACGAGCGACAGAACCTGAGGCCACACTGACCGTGTTTACATGCTCATTAGGTATCGTCTAACAGTAGCATCTACACGCCAACAGGTTAACACGCGCATTCAATATGCCAGCCTTTTACGGCACCTTGTCTGAATGAAGACATCTCCGGAGGTGTGCCAGACTTGAGGCGGCGTTATTCACGCCCTCCTGGGGTGAGCATAAACACTTTCGCACACAGCCGTCGTAGAAAGAGCTGGAGGCAGTGGGGGGAGAGAGTCTGCCACGAAGAACAAGCTAGCATTAAGTGTCAGCATCCAGGAGAGGAAGATATGGAGCCACGGGTGGGACCCTATAAATAACAGAGCCCACCTTGGAAGCCATGGTCACACACACGCACACACAGCAGTACTGATTTCCTGAAAACTGTCCGTACATCTAATAATAGAAATCTCGAAAATATAGATCAAGAATTAATCTTCCAAATGGATGAAGCTTGTACACTGACCCACGAATCTGTTAGTTTCCATATGTGTGAGGAAGAGCAGGTGGTTATAGACGCGAGTGACCCAGGTTTAATATTTTAAGGGTTAAAACCTGTCAAACCAGGAGAACAAAATCCAACCATGACAACATTAAACTGAAGATTATGTATTTCTGATGCTTCCTGAGAGATTGCATTTATGTTCCCCTTGTTTACAATTCTGAAATGGAAAAAAGAAAAGTTGGGAAAGGGAAAGTCAATAATTAGTACTTATAAAAGGAATAACCTTGGCAAATCTCACAGCTTGTAAGTTATTTTATTTCCCTCTGACCATTTTCCCCACCCAACAAATGCATCTTTTCACATTTATTTTTCCTTGTTTCTTCAAGATTTTTGGGAGGATCAGAATATTTCTCCAGATTTTTTTTAATCGTCAGGGCGCAATGTGAGCATACATTTCGCCATTTTTAGAGTAAGTCCACTAAGGGTTTTCCGTTGAGAGTTTTGTTGATCCCCATTGTCATTTTGGTTGGCACTTCTTTAATGATGACATGATATAATATTTTGTTTCTAGCATTTGCTGGTTTCTTTTTTCAGCTGTTAGCAAGTTAAGTGAAATTGAATCGTGTAGCCATCAGGCTGTAACAGCCATCAACTCATTTGAGTTTCAAAGTATGAAACTCAAACATGACATGATAGTTTTTATTTAAAACAAAAAAATCTAATGTATTTCCAACTGTTGTTAATTTGTGACATAATGATTACAACTGCTCTAACAATATTGACCTTATTTTGTGGTATGAGAGCAAAAATATAAAATAACTCATTGCTGAATTTAGTTTTTTTAGTAGTTTTTATAATTGCATTTCACACCTTTTTGTTTTTCTAACTAACAGAGCAACAAGTATAAAAAGCTGATAGCAAACCTGCAGTCTGCTGCTTAAGAGATAAGTCGCTCCTGGCTTGATAACAGTTTTTAAGCAACTGTTATCAAGCCAGGAGTTTAACCATCCAACCAACGGACTAAAGATGACGATGAACACATTAAACGATAGATATTAATCACATAGATTTTACAGGATTACACATAATTACTTCCTGAAAACCAACATGATGCAATAATGACTAAATGTAAAAAAAATGAAGCATAAATCGCCCTGAAGAACAAAAGCATGAATGAAATATCTTTTTTGGGACGACTTCATATAATAAGATCGTTGTACCTGGAAGAGAAAAACAAAGTAAGGTAAGTGATAACCTTGAAAACACTGAGCACCCCCCTCCCCCCCAAAAAAAACTAACAAAAAACAGTAAAATAAAAAAAAAACACTAATGAAATTCAAGAGGCAAGACTGGGAAATAAATGGCAAGTGCAAGGAATAAAAAACCACAAATACAGGGCAAGGACAGCTGTTTGCTATCTTTTTTATGGTTTGGAAAGAGAAAGTTCTGAATGCTAGCTTTCCAAGTCGCAAGTCTTTATCTTTAGTCTAAGCTAAATCAATTGAGATATGGTTTGACATCATCACCTGATGTTTTACTCTAAACATCCTAATAAGTTATTTTAATGAAGAAATTTTATTTTGCCTCACTTGAGGCAAAAAAATAAGAAATTTTTTTGAGAATTTTGGAAATTTCCGATGAGCATTTTTGAATCCAATTCAAAAGCAACTATTTTACAGTGAAAACTGTCGGTCCAGTGTAATTTTACTCCAAATTTTAGAACTGTTTAAAAAATAAGCTTTTCACATTTGTCACTATTGAAGCACTGAGGTTTCCACACCAAGACCTTTCCATATTTTTCGCAACTAGACATATTTCCTAACCACCCAAACAGACTTAAGGCAGGGAATATTGTGGTAGCCTTATTTCAGCCAGCTGACCAGTAGTGCACAGCGACAGGTGAGAAGTAAGGCAGTTATTCATTACTGTGTGGTCCATCAAGCTGGTTAGAACTTCCAGCACTTTCTCTGGAATCTGATTAAAATGAGTTTACGTCACAGGAATGATGTTACTTTATCTCGATTTGCTTTACAACTGCAAACGTCCAACTCCCAAATTTACAGTGAAGGTGCAAAAAATAAATAAATAAATAAATAAAACATTAATTTTTTACTGGAGAAAAGAAAAGACAAGTAAGCTCATCTCGAGGCACATTTGAAGTTTAGTAGCTCCAAAGACTTGCAAGATTTTGGAGAATATTTTGGACTAAAACTAATTCCTTCAACAGCTTGGACAACAATTAATGTCTCAGCAAACCATCTGCTTGGAGTAAGCAATGCTTTGTTCTGATTTCATCCTAACCTGTTCATTCGGTTTTAGGAGTTAGGGTCAGTGTGATCGTCACCTGAAGATGCCGAAAAGAAAGTGGAGCCTGACAAAAAAAGAAAAAAAATATTTCTATCTCTGATTTTTTTTTTCTTTTTTTTTTCCCCCTTTTACAAATTTGCCGATGGTTCTCTCAACTTCCACAAAGTCGTGTGCCGTCATGATCCGGCATGCTAACTGTGTTTTAATGTGTTGGAAACAGCAGAGAAGCAGCGCTAAAGAGGGAAAGAAGAGGACAGGAAATGTCCCTACGCCCGCCCCAAGCTTGAGCAGCTCGAGTTCAAAGACGACATGAAACGAAGGGTTCCTCTAACACATGCAAACCCTCCGTGACCCATTTTCTACAGAGCGCTGGCCTCCGTCAGAGCAGAATCAGCTGCCATGACAACATGCACTTCACATCACAGCAACCATCATTATCATCATCATCATCATGATTATCTTTATCATCATTTTCAATGGTGCTCTGCAGCAATTGGGAAAACAAAAGGGAAGCATGCCGCCGGAGTTTAAGTCTTATCTTTCCTACGGAGGTTTTCATGCGCAAGACAACAAAAGGAGGAGTGGGGATGGAGTTCTAAGAAAAGACTTTCGGCACAGCGATGTGGTTATGTCATGTGTGGAGTCGTTCTCCGTTTCTTCCCTGTCCCTGCTGACATTCCACCTCCACCTGAAAATGCATGGCAGCAGGGGAAGACATGTGGGAACAAAACGGCTGAGTTTGGACTGTGTGAAGGTGGCCGTTAGGAAAAGAAAAAAATAAAATAAAATAAAATAAAAGGAGGGGAGGGGCAGGAGGGAAGTAGGGGTTGAAAACAGAAAGGAAAGAGGAGGTCATACTTTGGGCAACGGCGTTTCAGACGACCGGACTTTCTGGGGAGATATCTGTGAAGAGAGCAAGAGAATTATTTTTTCTTGTTTCCCCCTCTTCAGAGATATCTCCTGTGGCATATTGCTGTTCTCCGTTACTGAATTTTCACTGAGTTCAGGTGTTCTTGTCAGGAGGACCCGAAAGCGGTTCCTCTAGGACTAACAGACAATGTGGTGGGGGGAAGTGCTTCTAAGCAATACGGGCTCCTGTATGAGTGCTCAGTTACAAACGACACAAGATTTACGTTAGCAGAGAAACTGTGGCTCAATTTGAGCAAACAAAAACCTTGTTCTGGTGCAACCGACTGAAAGTTGAGCACAAGCATCAAGGTGCAATTTGAGAAATCTTCCCATGTGTAAGACGGGAGGGCGGGGGAGGCATAAATAGTCACTGACTGTTTTCAATGGACTGAACGTGTCAAAGTGACGTATTAAGCGGAAAACCAATGAACAACAACACATCAGAGGAGACACTCAGAGAGAGGAGAGGAAACACAAGTTCACAGAGGAGTTGCACAGACTGAAGAGGAGCATCGGCATGCAAGATGATTTCACATGACGACAGGTTTAAATGTTAGATGGAAAAAAAGAAGTAAATCAGATAAATTCCAGAAAATCTGTTTTTTAGAGAGTGGTTTTATTAAGATGTTTTGGGACAAAAGTCCCACCGGATTTAGCGCTGCGTCGTCTGCCATGTGCAGTGCCTTGCCAACCGCAAACTTCTTTAAAACTGAGATTTGTTTGTAAAAGATCAATAAGGTAACGTATAATTGTGAAGGTTGAAGTAAAACTGCTCAAGAGACAGGACACTGATGTCAACTAGTAACTGGTAGTTTAGAAAATAAGAACAACTAAGCACGTGCTTCTTCCTACTCCCTTTTGGACATGTTACGTTGACTTTACTCTTGTCGTTGTTGGACTATTTTGCTGTTGCTTTCATTTTGGTTTTTTGATTTAATTATGCATGTTTGGTTTTTGTTTTCCCAGTTTTGGGAAACTGGGAAAACAACTGGGAAACTTGGTGGGAAGATGGACAGAGGCAATCCTGAAATGGCCCAGTCAAAGTCCAGCTCAGAGTCAAACTGAGGATCTGTGGCAAGACAAGACTGATGCTCACCATCACGCCACACTTAATCTGACTGAGCTTGAGTTGATATAGGAAGAAGAGTCTCCACCACGGCTTTTCTAATTCTACTCTACTTTACGATTAAGCGTTTTGCAAGGCACTGTAATGGCAATATCTCTTTAAAAGACTTTTGAAAACATCAGTAATTTTCTATGAGTAACAGCTCCCTAAATCGAAGAGATAAAAATTGTTTTAGATCAACACTGAGAGGCAGGGAAATTGTTTCCGTCAATATCGAATCAAGAATTAAGTTTTAGCAGGAGTTTTATCACACGTTTTAATAAATATTTGGTTCGTTAGCTTTGTGGATTTGTAAATGTGCACCGTATAATGTCAGAGGAAACTACTTAGTGAAGGTTTAAAGCATTAAAATGGAGACAACGCTGCTACAATTTCAGATATTTGGTTATGGTGGCCAGATTGGAGGAGTATCCATTTTGTTTCTCTAATGGAAGAGGGTAACAGGTGGGAAGACAAGAGGTGAGAAGAGACCGACACCTACACAAAGAGAGAGAGCAAAGATTCAAGACAGGAACAAGAAAACACAGCAAAAAAGAAAAGCGTTATAGAGACAGAAAGAGGAGGGACGTGGGTGAGTGGAGACAGCGATGACGCCGGACAAACGATGACAGCAACAGACGGAGACATTGGTAATGACTTGTCCTCGGCGCCCAGGCCAGATGCCCTCTGCACATTCGTGTTGTACCTTCATTGGCGCCAGCTGGATGGGGGTGATGTAGGAGGGGTCCACCATGGGCTTGGGCCGGTTGGCGGTGTCGGCCAGCAGGCTCTGCCATTGCTGTGGCAACCCGGTGAACTTCTGCTCCCGCGGGTCGAACCCCGTGTGGACCCGGTGCTCAAAGTTAGACGGGGCTGAGATCTCCAGCCGTTTCTTCTTCTTCCCAAACATGCTGGAAAACCCTGGCAAACCTGGCAACCCAGAGGAAACTCACATTAGCACGGCACAGAAATAACAACAGACGGTAAAGGGTAAAACCTGCGTCCTTCATCAACAAATCTGTAAAAGTTTTAAACTCAGTTCTAGTGGCGGGTCATGTGGGCGGTTGCCCAGGGCGGCACTAGGACAGATGGATGCTAGAACCACCACTGCTTGACTCAATGGAAAAACACCTGAAACTAACGAATCCCCAAGTGGAAATAGATTTACCGTCTCTTCACATATGGGCGAATGCAGCCACCAAATGATAACATTTTCCACCATTCACGTTTGCATCCAGCTTGAGGTTGAAAGTACACTGCTCTCAGAGCGTCCTGTCTGTGATTGGGACCTCTGTGTGTGCCCTATTGTGATTCTGTTGGTTTGGGAATTTGCGCAGTGCCCGGTCACAAGAACAAAATGTCATGACTCTGTTGTTGCAGCTGTGAAAGAAAACTATTGTGCCAGTCTGGTCAAGGAAGCCCTGTCTTCTGACAACAGTCCTCCACCCCACCTTCTTGTTTTTCCTCTCGCTCTCTGCTACGGCTTTGGCACAGCTCATGTCTGCTGTGCGCAATTTTTTAAAATATAAATTAAAGCGGTATCGCTTGAATTTAATCCTCATAGAAAACTTCAGCCCCCTCTGTCGCTAGCTTACAGTATTTAAATGAAAACAAATAAATCTTTAATAATTTATTTGTTAGATTAGCATCTGTCATAAAATATATGTACTTATTGAAAATATTCCATTTTTTTCCTGCCTCTCCTCATAACTTTGAGTGATGAAGAGACAGAAAAAATGGCCAGAAACATTTACACTGGCAGGAGAAAAGTGTACTTTTCATGGGTTTTCCAATATGTCTGTTTTGTTTTAATGGCATTTCAAGGTTACAATACCATTAGGGTCAATTATTTTAATCTTTAATTGTTGTAGTTTTGACAGCATCCACTTGTTGCTGTTGCAGGCATCATTCATTAAAGCTCCAAACAGTCCCAGGAAGTTCGTGGACACCGATAATAACTGCACGACTGTTCAAACAAACATTACAAAAATTAAATTTTTTTAAAACATCTACGCTTTTATAAAAACCTTACTAAAACATATGCAGACCCAGGAAACGATTGAGTGTAAACAGAGTTTAGCAACAAGCTTCTTAGTAACAGAGGGGTCACTCGCTGCAAAGTGTTAATTAAATCTGCTTTGAGAGAATGACTAACTCTGCTGCCTTGGCAGGGATTCTCTTACAGATGCACACACTGCAGAGTCACCCGAGTAAAGTTCTCAGAGCAACTTTAAACAGACGTGGCAAAAATGCAATCATGTAAATCGTTCTCTGTCGTTTCCTTTGCTGCCGGGGGAGGAGAGCCAGCCAGGCTAAATTAGTGGCCTCAAACAGGAAAGACGGAGAGATAAATTGATGGGAAAGCACCAGGATGTGGGGGGTTGATGAGGACAGAACATGAGAACCGAGGAGGAACATAAGCAGGAGGTTAAAGAAGAAAAAGAAAATGAGGAGACAAAACTGAGCGGCAACAAATGAATATGCAGAACATTGCTTCAGATTTAAAAAGGTTTTTTAATACGGAGAGACCTTTTATCACACAGGCATGTTTACATATGCTCGGTTTCAATACAGTAAAATCATCATTTTAGCTATTTTAGTTCAAATTTTAAAAAATCCATTAGGGTTCATTTAAACAACGAGCCACTTTTAACCATAAATTTGAGTCATAAGAAAATTACTTATAATTTCAAATCATCCGTGTGAAAAGTGGTCGTTAGCATAAGAGAACTTATATTGGAAGCTGATTTAACTGTAGCACCAAAAACAGAAAGAAATGTGACACTTTTTTTAATTAATTCAATCCATTTAGCCATGAAAAATGTGATATAGACACATATGCAGGCGTTTCGGCTGTTGGCTGAAATCCACAGAGTTTTTGACCTTCTCATTATTTTCAGAGCCTGTGCTTGAGGTGTACTGTGCTAAATAAAATACAGACATTTAGACACTGCTGTGATTTAAGCTAGGAGGAGTCTTCTGCAAACATCCCTTCAGTAGTCAGTGCATTAAAACAAAGTTGTGGAGTGAATCTCTGCAACTGAATCAGAAGGGAATAAGGCTTGTAATCAAGTCCCTTCACAGTAAAACATGCAGTTAGACCTGCATCTGTTGCTTACATACCAACTTCCTCTTGGTTACACCAGGTAAAGGTTGGACGCAAGGACTTGAATTTGAACAGTCAAGACATGCAAAAGTCTGAGACGCAGCAACTCGTTTTTTGCAACTCAAGTACAACTCGAGTCTAAAGGACAAAATCGAGTCTTGAGTGGGTCACACACACCTGGAATAAATGAAGGGATGGATAGATTTAAGGTTGAGGATCATCCGGTGGCATTTTGGGACGTGTGCATTAAAATAAAAACCAACCATCACAATTTACAATCGCTAAAGATTCAGGAGTGAAAAATGGATTTTAGAAGATTTAAGGCAACTGAGCAGCGAGAACTTGGCTGCTCAGCAGTAAAGGCTGGTGTAGTGTACCTGCTAGAGTTTTGCTTCAATAATTCATGGCTGGCATTTTTTTTTTTTTTTTAGCTTCATGGCTGTCTATGTTTCTCACAATCTTTAGTATTTCCAAACAGCTTTATTAGCCTTTCTTTTAACTGAATGAAAAGTACAATGGGCTGCTATTAACCATATGATAGCAACAGACCAGGAAGGGGCAGCACTGAGCTACTCTGAGCTCAATACAGTCACTTCTATAGCATCTCCTTCAAAAGACTTCAGGAAAGCCTATAAAAAAATTCTTATGGTTTTAAAATTTCTAAATGTTTCAAAATGCAACGCTACGTCCGATGAATGTGAGATGATCAGCAAACTGAAGGCTTAATTCCTCATGACACCCGTGGCTTTGGCACAGTGATAAAACACTTACGCTATAAGCTTAAAGAATTCTGTGGGGGGGGGGGGAAAAAAAATGTTAATACCACTAGCATTTGTCAAATTCCTGCATCAAATAAGATCTCAAAGACAACCATTTGAGGATGTGAACTCAAGCAAGAAGCAGAGTAAAGATGGAAGGTGTAGATTAGCTCACCTTGACAGTGTGAATATGAAGGCGTCAGCAGTGCGAACGGTCATGTTTAAAGAAGATTCTCGAGTGATAAGTGATGGTTATTAAAATAGTCCAGATCATAAGGTGAGAAGTTGGGTGAGACGGAGAGCGGCAGGCGAAAATTGAGCTCTGGGGACCAAATGGTCCAAAATAACCTGCTGCTGCAGTGACTGCCAGATCCTAGTGAGGATGTGTGAGTATTAACAATGAACGTGATGAAGGCCTTGTGCATGAAGATTATGTTCTAGAAAGACGAAACCTTCAGTCGGGGATAGATTTTCATTCTGCATGCGCAGTGCTGTCAAAGTATTCACTCTCTTCTTCTATTTTTGCTTTGAAGTCACACTAGTGTCACACACAGTTTTATAACAGGGGAAAAAATGTATGACGATCAATAAAGAAACAACTGGTTTAGTTTATAACTAACTATGTTGCTTATAAGCGCCGTGAAGAACGTTTGAGACGCTTTTCTTTGCAGTTTTCTCTTAAAGCCGTAGTACGTAAATTACATAATCAATATGTTCTTTATTTGTTCGTGTCATGGCTTTATAAGATGTAAAAAGATCAATCTCCTCCGACTCCTCCTTGTCATCCTACTGCCATCTGCAGAAATACACCGCTCGGTCATAAACAACCAATCAGAGCCAGGAGGAGTGTTTGACTGCTATCAATAATGCTTGTGTACATGTAACAAACACTTTTTAATTTTTTTTTTACAAAAGTTACCTACCTATTTAAAGACTGTGCTTCCTGTTTTTTGTATTAGGTTATGTAAGTTCAATATAAAAAAAACCCCTGAACAATCTGCAATCTTAAAGTGAGACAAAAATGCAGAAAAGGAACCATAAGTAAAACTTTATAATGGCAGGAAAGAAGCTAGCTCTATATTGTCTTGTTAGATTGAGGGATCTACATCTGCAGATTGGCAATGCCCAGCAGGAACATAAAGGTGAGCGGTGATGCGGCACTGCCACAGCTAAAGTTGAAAGGTCGTAGCAAGGAGTGAGCGTGCAGGGTGTTGGGGAGATACGAGAGGAGGATAGACCAGCAGATTTCATATATTTTCATCTGAATCAGATGCCGTATTCTGCAGTCTCTTAGTCAAGCAACATGGCATAAGGTGAGATAAAATCATATAAAAAGGTAGGAGCCTTGGACCAAAAAAAGGAAGACTTTCAGAAAACTTTCATGTTACATCAGAACCTACGAACCGTACAACACCTTGCTTTCAGCGCAACAAGATTTGATTGTGGTCTGTAAGCATCCAGAGTGAGAATGTGACCCCTGACCTACATGAGGATGAGATTATTAAAAGCTTAAGTCTTGTTGTCCAAGCTCAGCTGCAAGGAGACACAACAACAAATGTACATCTGAGTGTTGGTAACACAACTGGTGATCCTGTTTACGTGCCCGGTCCAAATTTACTCCCGCAGAGCTTTTAGCAGCTCCTCTTTCACACCAGTCCAAACATTTGTCGGGCGGTACTTTGACTGCGCAGGCCTCTGGGAGCTCATGCCAGAGGAGCTGCTTACTCCACAGCTTCTGCCACACAAGCACCTCTCGAGGTTAAGTTTATGTTCGGACCGTAAGAAACACTTTTGCAAAGTTCAGACTAATGCCTGAGAGGTGTTTCTACGGAAGAGTAACAATGTCACTTCATTGATAACACTGCGTCTGGACATACGTGGACGGGATTAGAGATTTGCGAACCCATAATTATGGGCGTGTAGCTGGAGTGAGCTGTGACAGCGTCAGCAAACTGTAATGATTAGTCAGGCAGTTTCTATTGAGCAGCACAGAAATAAAAAAAAAACCCCAACATGTTTCAATTTGGAAAACATTTTATAACTTATTTTCTTAACAATCAAAGTAAGTAAGCTATTAAAAGCCTGCAGGTTTACACCAGGATTCATAAAATGTTTAAAAATGTTTATATGTTGCATATACTATGCATATATGTTGTTGCTGTTTCATAAAAACTACTTCAATAAATCAACAAATTAATTAAGCAACAAAAAGAAAATTCAAAAGTGCACCAAAAAGCAACACTTGAAACAGACACATAATTAACAAAAAGACGGTGGAAATGTCATGTCGTAGTCCTTAAAAGTTGAAAAGCCTTTTAATGAGATGCTAGACATTGTATTGCTTCTACACTTTGTTGCAAAGAAGAAAACATTGGCCGTTTGTAAATATGATATGTCCAGTCATGTAAAACACAGACAGCCGTCACATGGAAAATGCAAGAGCATCAGTCAAGGCTAAAAGTTGATACTTTTAGTAGCATGTCTATTGAATAGCCAACTCCAAACTGGCAACTCAAGCAGATAGCATGCTAATTAACTAGCTAACATAAACGTTTCCTGATACTTAATACAGAACAGAACAT